ATGAAGATAATAAAGAATGTTAATGACGAATTACCTTGGATTGAACATCAATATTTTCTTCTGCTTTAATGATGAGTAATTCTTGCTCTACGTTTATACTATTTCGGCTACTAAAGTTTGTAGAGTTCATGGTTTTATTTTGCTGCTGAAAACATAAAAAAAATACATCATACATGTAATAATATTACTCAATAATTGTCCTGCGATTGTACTTATGATTTATGATTGATCTGACTAGAAACAACATTCAAACGAAAAGAGTCCCGTACACACCAAGTACCACAAATGCAGCATTGGGGATGAAAGGGGGAGGCCACCGCCACCCTCCTCCCCGATGCCAATTTTGCGTTGAAAGTAATTAATTTTATAAAAAAAAATTAAATTAATTTGATTGAGTAAATAAATTAATTATTTGGAAGTTTGCAACATCGTAATTCGAGGAACGTGTTTCAAAACTTTTACCAGCAAAACTGAATGTTCCTTAATGGCATTCTGGTAGTATTTACGTCTGCTTCGTGGAGAGGAAGGGAACAGTGGCGTGGTGTATTTTGCGATATACCGATTGATCTGCCATTTAAACCTATGGAAAAGGATCGATAAACACGGCGTTCGCAACGAACATCTTAATAATTGATTCTTTACCATAGCTTCAAATGGGGGAAAAATCGACAATCGATCATTCACGCTTTGCCACTGGAGGGGAATGTGAATAAGGGAGTATAATCATAATCTCATGAATTTTATTATCTTTGAAAATCTACGTATATTCATCAGAATAAAACTATCAATGGCTATATTCTAATCGTAGGCAAAATTAAATTAGACGATTAAATTTATTAATTAAATTAAATAATACTTACATGAGTGGGCGGATTCTCATTGGATTTTATAATATTGTTCATATTGTTATTTTTCTCTCTTCGCAATTCCTCTTCCCTTTCTCTGGCCAATCGAATTTCTCGCTCAATAGGAGTTTCTCTTTCATTCCTGTCGTATAAAAAGAGAGAAAAAAATATCACATTAGTTACAGTACATCATTAAATATTCCATCCATCAGAGAGATGGACTTCCCAGACCGGTGAATCGAACTCTTGCAGGAATTTCTTAAGACAAATAAAGTTGAGTTTAATGGAAATTTGAGTCCTAAAATTACAGCACAGTTCATGACAAGACCGCATCCAATTTTGTTTTTCAGACGATAGGCTGATTTTAAAAGATTGCTAAATTTTAAGGTGCGTGTTGCTGTGCTGTGCGGGCTGTGCCATCAATTTTGCGTGAGCGCAAGGCGTGGAACAACCTTCAAGTGCCGAAAAAATTTGACAACGGACGAGCAAAGTTAGAAAATACAGTGATCTGAAAATGACAATAAGTGAAAAATCAATTGAAAATAATGCATACACGCAAAATTAGGGGAGCGACATTGTGCAATTCGCAGAGTTTTCTGGGAGGCATTTTTTCCGCAGTGGAAAAAAAACACATTGGATCTAGAGTCCAGACTCTTAAAAACATTGACAAGAAAAAATACTCTTGATTCAATCGGATTTTTTCTTAAATCACAACGAAATCCGCTTAAATTAAGAGGCTTGGTTCTNAATTCTGATTGAATCAAGAGTACTTTTTCTTGTCGATGTTTTTAAGAGTCTGGACTCTAGATCCAATGTGTTTTTTTTTCCAGTGCGATATTATTTGACCACGAGGTTAGCCTATTGCCTACCTCCTTTGTCCGTTGCAACCACCCGCATTCACCAATAGGATCTCTCCGTATCCCTTTTTTCATATTTGTCTATAGCTTTGTTTATCAATTTCAATAATCGGCCCGCAGAGGCGATAAGCGCTTCGTCGGGTTGGATCGCGAAGCGATCAGAGGATACAGCCTCCTAGTGAGTGTTGAAAGATTGGCGGTTACCTGAAAAAGGTGGAGTTCTCTTCCTCTGGCTCGTCGAGGGGTTTGACGGTGATGCCTCTTCGTCTGGCGTTGACGCTCACGTAGGAGCAGTCCAGGTGTGAGCTGAGCCCGGAGCTGGAGCCGGAGCTGTGCCCGGAGCTCATCGAGTCCATCGACTGGGTCCGCTGGTGGATCTGACCGCCCATCTCCACTTCGGGGCTCATCACACGGCTGAAACACGCAATGCGAAAGTGGCAAATTAGTCCAGCTC